CAGAGTGGATACACATGCTATACAGAGATGCTGTGTGAGAAACCAATGTGAGTTTGGAACATTGCACAATGTAAATCTATTCTAGTAGACCTCAACAATGGAATTATGATCAGTAGAAATGGCCATGACATGGGACCTTTAAGAAGCTATTATTAACATTTTGTTAACCTTGTTTTGGTATTTTTGTGGGATTTGTTGACTTCCAACTTGTGACTTCTGTCTTTTGTTAATATTTATTGTAACAGGGGAATCCTTAACAAGTAGTTGGAAGACAAAAAAACATTACAAAAAATAATATAAACATAATGTTGAACTACTGTGGTTGAAGGCAAACATGGAACAGCTTAAAAAGTCTGGAAAGTTTAGAAAATAAAATCGATTTACTGTTATGCAGCCTTCAAATCAGGAAAAGACAACGATATCCAAAATCTAAGATGATAATTAGCCCTTTATCACGTTATTGATAATTCATTATATTGCCCCAGCCCTAATACCACCACACACACTGTATACTGTATGTTAAGTTAAAACACACAACGAAACTCAGATATGGCACTGTAAAGTGGACCCACAAACTCTCTTTGATTCACGTTCGCAGAAATCATATTACTACCTATTGATGTGGGAGGCTGTGGCGCAGTGGGATAGTGCGTTGGTGTTCGGCTCAGGGGAGCACAGGTTCGAACCCCACTGCAGTCAGCATGTCGTTGTGTCCCTGAGACACTTCACCCCAAATTGCTCCTGTGGGGATTGCCCACAGTATTGAGTATGTCGCTTTGGATACAAGTAACATGTAGTTTAATGTAATGATGTTTGGCATAAACAGCTGCAGCCGGAAACAAGCAGCTGCAGATAATGTGGTTTTGGGGAGTAGGTGATGATGAAAATTCAAATTAATTTGGTGTTTGTCCAGGTTTAGGGGCCAACGCACTCACCGTGCTCTGCTCAAAGCTCGAGGGTCCTCTGCAGCCTGTTCCCCCGACTCATCTGCCCACAGTCTGTTTCTGAACAAAGCATTTGGCTCGGCCTCTTATCTGCTAATCAATGTGAAGAGACCACTCAACATAATTGATATAGGATGTGATGATGCTTTTTCTTCTTTACTACACTCGAGCGCACAGAGTGAAGAGGAGGGCGTTGATGTAGAGACGATACGTTTGGATTAGCATTTGAATAACAGCCCATAATGAATTCCTCCTACTTGTTATTGTTTGAAGTGAAGCGGTACATGTTTCCTCTCAAGTGAAGACACAATGAACTCACTGTCCGTCGTTGGAGATGCATCATCATAATTGTTCTGCATCAACGAGATATTTCATTATTTCTGGGCAAATCCATTGGAAAGCATTTAGGCCTATTGTATTATTTCTGCATAGAATTTAATATAATTTAATCACATTATGATCATTTTTACTTACTTGTACTAGTAATAGCCTTACTAGTGAAGTAGCTGTAATCATAATGTTTGTTCGGATACAGAAGAAAAGTAGAAGAAAACTTTTTTAGTTTAAGTTTAAAAAATAGATTCCTCTCTTAGACACATAATGCCTTTTGTTGCATGTCTCCTACTCCCTGTTTTGATGAGCTATTAAAGAAAATACTGTCCCTAAACTAAAAGTCACTGGGCATGTGCATCAAATGACAAGGAGGGATTCGACTGGCATTAACATTTTTTTTTTTATATTTATATAATTCGGCAAAAATGTGAAAGAGTTAGAGGAGAAAGGTAAAGGCAGAAAGGCTGTTAAACGTACGGATGGACAGACAGATATTTTAAGGACTACAGCTCACATGTGTATAAGAGGCACATTGCTCCACCCCTATTACAGGGTATATGCAGGAATCCTGAAGTCAAATGTAAAACCTTTTAAGACCTTTTTTAAGACCCTTTCCATACATTTGAAGACCTCATCGCCACTTTGAGTTCTAACCGGTTACCTTGGCGACACACTTTACCTCACATTGACTATATACAGTATTGATTGTCCTTCCTCCTTATCTTTCAACCATTTGGACGTTAACTTGCATTTCCCCATAACGATGTTGTTTAACAACCGGCGTGTACGGACCTTCGCGCGCTATCAAGCAGTGAGCGTGCAATGTCCTGTTCAGATGACGTCAAATCCAACGGGATGCCATAAATAAACTACACAGAATCACACTACACACCTACGCAATGATTACATTCAGGCAGACTGTAGAATACAACCTCTTTGGACCATTTATATACTTATTGAAAACAAGCTACATAATGTAATACCTTGGAAAATGCCGTTTAATACTTTTTAATAGCCTTAATTTTCGCTAAATTGATTTATCAACAGTTAATACTTTTTAAGACCCCGCGGACACCCTGTATTAGATGTGTTTAGGCCCTTTCTTATTCCCCCTCACTAGTTGGCTGCGTGCCCGTTGGGGAAGTGCGTCTTCTTGGAAAGTGTTTACATGTCTGGATCTCGTCTCTAACCAAATGAATTTATTTGGCTGCCGCTCGCTCTCGTACTCAAAAGCCAGTGCATCCAAAGTTCAAGTACCTTTGGTTTGACACCGTGACTGCTGAGACGTAAAGAAACATTAGACAATTGATGGCAGTAGACACCCCCCTCCCCCTCTGCACAGCCACATTATGAGCCAATGTCACCTCTCTGCTATTCAGAGCGGCCGATCCTCAGTGTAATGAGTTGCTGTTTGTTTGGCTACAGGCTGTCTCCAATGACACACGATGCTGTCACTCACTTTTTCATGGCAGCGGCCCCCGTGGCACTGAATCACCGTCTGACTCTCTCGTTCGATAAAAAGCAACTTCTCAAACCATTTCGCTCTTATCTCTCGAACAAAATGTCCTTATCCAGGCTTTATTTATTCCTTTTATTGCAGAACAGGTTGTTGTTTACACAAATGAGCTGGAAAGTTAACTGTGGGGGAGGATGTGTTACACATTATTCATTTTCCAATACCCACATCTACAATGATTATGTGCTGCTGGCATTTTAGCTGGAGCAGTGTGGGGCAAAGAGCAACACTCAAGGGCACATCAATTATCATTTTTAAGACTCAACCACACTGATTGTACTCATTGTACCGTACAGTGGCCTGAGTGTTTAATATGTTAAATCAACTGTTAACAAACCAACATTTAGGCTTGTTACTCGTACACATTTGAGCAAAAAACACTTTTCTCAGCAACCTGACTTCCCTTGTGTTTTGTTTTTTAGGTAATCATGTTTTCAGGCGTCCATTTAATGAGTGTCATTATTTTAAAATTTCTCCAAAAGTCTTCCGGCAAAAGAAAGCTTTATCGTTTTGTCTTCTAATGTTTTCAATTTGCAATCTGCCGCTCTAATTCATGATGATAATACATCTGTGGAGGGACTTAACGATATCTGTCATGACACTAACACCTGTTGGTAAGCAGCTAAATGTGTTGGTCTGAGAGCTAATGAAAGTCTGTCTTCATAGAGAAGGGGAAGATGTGACGGCGTGGGGATGACTGTACCTGAATTCAAAGTGTTGCACTCGGGTGTTCACTTGAATGTGAAAGACGAGATAGATGTGCAACGGATGGTAAAGGAAATCTAAGGGATTGAAGTTTAAGCCTCGTCTCCTGTCTCACCTCCAGACTGCTGCTCAATCAGAGTGTGACGTGTGGAGGGTTGAGAGTTA